AAACATTAACAACCATATTCTAAAATAAACTAACAGACTTTAGCATCATCCCTCACTTTAACTCCCCTTTTATAAAGCTAACTTTAAACAAGTTGTATCATTCCTTGCTCAAATCACTCCTAAGCTATCTGGAGTTTCTTAGTCCCATATTTATTCTGGATATAATCAATCCATCTTCTCCATTCCAGCTTGTATTTCTCATCTGAATGGTCCTTAAGATATGCTGATATTTTAGCCATCGTGGGGGTTTCTTAAAAGCACATTTGAATATTTAGGATTCTTCTGCAAAAAAAGCAAGCAATTTGTATACTGCTTTACGGTGCTTTGACAGGCTTCTCTAAGCAGTTTACAGAATCAGCATCTTGCCCCCCGACAATTTGGGGTCCTCGTTTTACCCACCTCGGAAGGATGGGAAGGATGTGTCAACCTTGAGCCTGGTGAGATTTGAACTGCCAAATTGCAGGCAGCCGGCAGTCAGCAGAAGTAGCCTGCAGTACTGCACTCCAACCACTACGCCGCTGTGGCTTATAACCACCCTTTTTGTTCCCTAGTGCCAACTACCTCGCCATCCCATCAGAAAATAAAGAAAACTGTGCTATACCAGTGGAGGAGTAGGAGGTGAATTTGCACCAGAGTTTTGCAACAAAGGTGAGACAAAGGATCTTTTCACGATGAAGGAGAAATTTGCTCAGCATATTCCATCTAATAAAAATAAATAAATAAGTAAATATTTGTGGGCGTGGCATAGCTTTGTGGGTGTGGCAGGGGAAGAATACTGCAAAATCCCCATTCCCTCCCCACCCCACTAACCTGCTTTCCAGCTCCATTCTCCTGCACAGGGCAACAGAAGAAGATAGGCTGGGAGGCAGCAGGGGCGTGGCCAGCCTATTTGCTGGTTCTCTGAACTACTCAAAATTTCTGCTACCGGTTCTCCAGAACCTGTCACAACTGGCTGAATCCCACCTCTGCACCGCACCATTCTATCCATTCCAAAAAAAAAATGTTGAGTGGATTTCTCCCACAGCCTCTTGGTTGTGGGGCTCACAGACCGGGTTTCCCCAATCAGCTCTTTACAATGCAAAAGGTAGATTACCCTTGCCCTGTTTCTTTTCCTTTTCAGGAGCCTGACAGACCTCAAGGACTAACAAATCACTGCAGCTGGATTGGAAGGGATCCCGTTCCACGAGGTGGAGCCATGAGGCCGTCTACATTTATTCCCTCCTCCTGGGGAGGCATCCGTGGCTTCCATCTTGACCGATGACGGGCCTCTGTTTGAGGCAAGCTGAGACAGACAAAAGAGGGCAGGATGGCGCTGTTCGTCCCATCGTTGTCCCAGTTTTGTAAATACGAACTGCCTTTTTCCCTAACGTAGATTTTTTTTCCCATTGGGGTCTTTGCCATCGCAAGCTGCCCCCAGGACAACATTCTCCACTCTGAACCTTCTTCTATCTTCATTCTGGAATTAATTTAGCATCCTGTTCCCAGCATGGGGCAGGCAGGCAGAAGTAAGAATCAGAAAGTTTCAGTTCCTTCTCAACCTAGGAGAGGGAAGGAGGAGGAGAACTCAGGAAGCTGGAAATATTGTTGGGATGACCACAGTAGCCTTGAAATTACCACCGTCCAGGGATTAGCCGGAGCACAAATCTTCCACTGTTTGCATAATTTCATTCATCTCCATCTTTGTCCATAGTCAATTCAGGGTTTGTCTGACTCCTGGGTGAATCCCAAGTATGGAGAATAGGTTTCTGATCATGTAACAAGGTTTAGACCAGTGGTGGGATCCAAATTTATTTTTACTATCGGTTCTGTGGGCAAGGCTTTGTGGGCGTGGTGTGGTTTGGTGGGCATGGTGTGATGAGTGTGGCAGGGGAGGGATATTGCAAAATCTCCGTTCCCTTCTTACTCCAGGGGAAGGATACTGTAAAATCTCCATTCTCTCCTTACTCCAGGGGAAGGATACTGTAAAATCTCCATTCTNTAGGGTAAGGTTTTCGCTTTAATTTTAAATTTATCGCTCACAGCGCGATGTTTTCGTCGCGCTGTGATGACATCACATACGCGCTTTCGTCGAGCGCGCTTTAGTCTACTGCGGTTTTGTGGTGGAACCCCATCAAACTTTGATGATCTGGAAACTAGGGTTCAGATTAAGTTTCCCGCTGTAATTAAACTAACATGCTTAGAACAAATCTGAGCATTTTCAAAAGGAAGGAGAGAGGATAACAGGAGAGCAGTTAAAGGGAATGTGAGTTTGGAAACTGAATCTATAAATAAGGTTTGACCTTGTGGTGGGGGAAATGAGTTGCTAGAGTGATTTATAACTTTTGCAACAATAAAAATAACTCATTAGAAGGTCTTGGATTATTGGGAGTTTGCCCAATTGCTCCCAGTCCTCACGTACCCGAGGAAAAGGGTAGCTCAGCAATTTCTGTTGGTTCCGTCCTTCTCTTATGATATATGTCCCATATTTTAGGTGCTGTGAGCAGAATCAAAGAATTTGTTGCTGAACTCCCGTGATTCAACCTCCCTGTGTTCTGAGCTAGGCTTCCCCCAAAAAGCACCAAGCAGATTCCTCATCCCGACGACAAAACCCCTTTTGTTAAACGAATGTGAATTCCTCTCATTCACCTTCAGCAAAGGCCTGGCAAGCAGTCTTTCAAAGGTGAATTTATGAACACAGACCTTATCTATCTTGGAAAGCTGCCATGTCAATATTTTCCAAACTCAGTGCTGTGCAAGGAAAGACTAGGCACAGAGTCTCTGAGATTCATGGACAGATCTTCACACTCCTGAAACAAGCGAATGAACGAATTGTTTCCTCCAAAAGCCCACTCCCTTTTCCCTCCTCTTTTATTTTCCTATGGGAGGGGCCATTCATTGTCCACCTGTGGCTTTACTCTCAAGTTGACCCTGATTTCTTAGCTATTCTTTTCTTCCGGCAGCTCTGCGCATGCGCACACTGGGAACATGCTCCAGCTGTTCCTCTGCCTCACTGCTGTCTAGCTCCGAAGGCAGCTGATAACTGCCAGAGAGCCTCAGCCTCATCTCTGCCTCTGACACAGAGCCCTCGTCCGAGTCTTCCCCAGATTCCAGGACTGGCCCAGGTTCCTCCCCAACCTCCTCATTGTCTGAATCTGCTGCCAGCTCCACTGGTCGCTGGTGGGTCACAACACCCTGAATGACTCCATCGGTTCTGAAAAGAGTCACCCAATTCTGTCCAAAATTGGTGCTTAATATAGATTGCGTTCTAAGGATCATCTAGAAAAAGGAAGCTTTTCCAATCTCACTTTTTTAATCCGTCTTCAAGAACCCCAAACAGTAAATGAAAAGCTTTATTCTCGTCCAGCAAGAAAAACAATTTGAGCAGTATGTAATTTCCTGGGTCTGGTTTATTTATCTTTTTTTCTTTCTTTCTTTTCTGACTTGGCAACGGTTGGGTTTTCTCCTGGCCGGGCATCTTCTTCACCTTCAAACTGGGCTGCACCATTTCCATCGTTATCCAGTGGGCATCTGTTTTTCCGTTTGTGTCGAAGTCCCTTCGGAGACCGAAGCCGTGCAAGGATCGCGCATGAAGCTCATGTGCATTTCCTGTATGAAGCGAGAAGAGGTTTCGGCCAACACCGTGGTGAAGTGGTTCTACAAGCCTGAAGGAGGACAAGATGTAGCTGTGAGTGAGATCACTTCTATACCTTGGACATGTGGACCATGGGAGATGAGGGTTGGGGGAGAATAGGAACAGGGTCTCAGAAAGTGTAAGAAGTTAGCACCCACCTCTCTCCTAGAAAAATGAAATATTTTAAGAAATATTAAAAAGCCAGAATATTTCCCCTAAAATGGAGGCAGAAACTCAATCTCCCCCTTCCCCCACCTTTGTCAATGGGCCATTAAGGCCTGAGCNAAGCCACTCCCACCAGGCCACATGGCCGGAAAGCCACTCCCACAAATGAGGCCACACCCACAGAGTAGGTTCCAAAAAAATTTGAAACCCACCACTGGAGTAAACGCAACCGCGGAACAGGCTAAAACTACAACATAGAGTTAACGAAAGGCACAATGTAGGGCCGCGAAAAAGATGGCTCGGCTCGGCTCGCCTTGCTTTCCTCCCCAATCTTTTCTCCCTGCCAACTGCGTTACTCCCCAGAACGACCTGCTGCTGGCAGAGCAACTGTTTCCATCCACTCTTGCCGGCGCCAGGTTTCCTAGAAAGCCCCGCTCCTCCGCCCAGCTGGGGAAAGAGGCGCGCGGGAGATGAGCAACCCGGAGCGCCGGCTTTTGCGCGCGGCGCTCAACAGCCGCTTCGCCCCATTTGGCTGGCAAGGCGAGGAAGTCGCGGGTTCAGCGGAGGGGGGCGTGCCTGCTTTTTTGCCGAGGACAAATCTGCGCATGCTTCTACGGGGGGGAGGGGAGGGGAGGGAGGCTTCCTTTACACCCCCTACTCCACTCCACCCGCCAGTAGGTTGCTCCCGCTTCAACCTCTCCGCGCTCGTCTTCGCGCATCTCCAGGCGTCGGAGGTCGGGCTGGGCAGCGCGCTGGAGCAGCGGCGGGCGCGGAGTCCCCCTTCCCGCCGCGAGAAGAGCCGTGCCGCCTCCCCACGGGAAGGGGATCGGGGCTTGGTGCCCATCAGGCGCGGCGCCGGAGCCCCGGAGGAGCGGCCGGTGCCCACATCGACCCGGAGACGCCCGCGCCCTCGCCCGCGGAGGGAGTCTCTCTAAAGGCGGCACTCTCCGTGGTGCTGAATCTCGCCCTGTCGCCGACGGCCGTGGTCGCGAGCGCTCTAAAGGCGCCGCTGTCCCCCACCGAATCCGCTCTTCCCCTGGGTCGACCCCTGCCTTGCTCTGCCCGGATCTCCAGTTGAGCGCCCTCCCCCTTCCTTCCCCAGAAGACCCCCGTCCCCCAATTCCGTGGGGATCATGGCTGCGCTGACAAAGGTTGCCTTCGCCTCGACCGTGCTGGCGGCGCTTTGGGGTAGGTACCGGGGTGGAGAGTGAGGGGGGGTCTCTCTTGCCTGAACAATGGGAGTGGAAGGACGGGGCGCGGTGGGGAGGGGGCAAGAGGGGGGGGGGCTGGATTTGGCAGCGCAAGACAGAACCCTGCCAGGGAAGAGCGGCGGTTGGGAGGCAGAAACCTGGTGGCTTTCCACCGCTCCTTGGGGAACAAAGCTGGGCTGCCATGGTGAGAAGCGCGGCTTGTAATTAAAAGCCGCCTGTTGTTGTTTTGTGGCCGGTTTTTGTTTTTTTTTCTCAGCTGGAAATCGGGCAGGGAACTCCCGCGTCTGGCGGTTTGCTTTGGCAGGTGGAGACTGTAACGGGAGAGGAGAAGCAAGGCAGGGAATCTGAAGGGATCCGCTACGGAGAGTTATAGACTTTTTCCTAACGCCGCCTCGTTGGGAGTTTTAAACCCGTCTCCTTCCAGTTCTGGAAGATTTAGACATCTTGGGTGTTTCCTTCACTTCTGCAACTTAGCTTTTTTGTGTTAAAATCCCCCCCGCCGCCCTGTCCAAAATGTGCTTTTTCTAATCCCGGAGGACTACTTCTCAAAACAGTTTTTACCCAAAAGTATTTCAGTTTGGTTTTCAGTTTGTTTTTGGCTTGCCAGCTCGCAGNCCCTCCCCACTCCAGGGAAAGGATAATGCAAAATCACCATTCCCTCCAAATCCACTGGGACTCGGGAGGCAGAGAATAGATGGGGGCGGGGCCAGCCAGAGGTGGTATTTACCAGTTCTCCGAACTACTCAAAATTTCCGCTACTGGTTCTCCAGCACTGGTCAGAACCTGCTGAATACCATCTCTGGTTTAGACCAGGGATCCTCAAACTTTTTAAACAAGGGGCCAATTCACAGGCCATCAGACTGCTGGTAGGGCTGGGTGGCTGGGTGGGCATGGCTAGGTGGTCATGTGACTGGGTGGGTATAACTAGGCGTTCATATGGCTGGGTGAACATGGCCAATTTAGCAGTCCGGAGCAAACTTTGGGAATGATGCTAGCAAGGGCTGGCATCGGATATACGAAGCAGGGCAAGTGGTCACCCTTTGGGGCTTGAGATGATCACCACAATGGCCAAGCAGCCAAATTAGGAGAACCCTCACAAGGTCCAGTCTTAGTCAACCTTGGTTGGGTTGGAAGTAGAGCAAGGCTGGTGGTTTCATCACCTCTGTGGCCTAAAGGTGGAGCTCTCGCCTCACCATCAGGAGGTTGTGAGTTCGATCCTAGGTAGAGGCAGATGTAGGGTCTCCTGCTTGGGCAGGGGGTTGGACTAGATGACCTGCAAGGTCCCTTCCAACTCTGTTCATCTCTTAATTCAGAATTCCTGCTTCCTTGTTGCCCAGTTTGGGATGATGGAAATAGCAAGTAAAATACATATTAATATAGATTTCCATCACACACAAGTAGCCCAGGGGAGATAAACTCAAAGTCTTTCAATTTAAGATGTTTCACTTCTCATCCAAGAAGCTTCTTCAGTTCTAGAGGTTAGAACTGAAGAAGTTTCTTGGATGAGAAGGGAAACACCTTAATCAGAAAATCCAGTTGCCTTTCAAATTAAAGCTCCTTTGGGGCAACCATGATATATATGGATGAGTGAGAACCTCCATAGACAACCCAGGGTCTTTATGTCCACTAGATGGCGCTGGTAGACTTCTGAAATTCAATTGATAGATATCTCCGCACCTGATTTGGAAAAATTTTAATCATGTTTCCAATGCTGTGAATTTGGCAGATGGGACCTGCCCCCCCCCCCCCCCCCAGAAGATTTTTAGGAACTTAAATTGGGTGAGAAAGTTGGCAGGAGGAAAACAGTGATTGGCTAGAATTTACTTGT